GAACGGGGAGAGGGAACGAAGAAAGTCCGGCACCTGCGCTTTCGAATGAGATCCGCGAACCGTATGATTTACGGCATCGAGACATTCGCAGTTTCCTCCGGCGGTGTCATAATCGGTTTTGTATCTGTCCGCGCGAGAGAGCCGACGAGCGCGATACGGGCCGTGCGGGCAAAAATAAATGGCAATTAACATTCCTCTCGCATCTCGCTGCCTCTCGACGGGGCATCACGGAGAGACGAGAGAAAGAGGAGGGGGAAGGAAAGAGGACCGAGGGAGAGAAGCGGAGAGATGCCGCGGAGCCTCCGGATGAGGCCCGTAGCGCGCGGAGAGAAGGCGGACGATGGAGGGGGAGAGGGGGGAGGGCAGGGTAGGCGCGCGGAAAATAGAGCCCGGGCGTTTCTACGAGCTTTGCCGGCAAAATCGACCAAAGTCGAGAAATACTTCCGCCCGAAAAATGTCAGATCGCGGCGCGCGAAATCCACGGAATTCCTGGATCGCGAGGTCGTCTCGACTTTCGAGTCTTTCTCTCTCGATACCGCGATACTAACCGAATATCGATACTTTCACTTCCAATACTTGGTAGTATCGATATTATTTTAAGGAACGAAATCAGAGTAATTGTAATATACTGTTAAATTAATATTTTCCGGATGATGAAAAAGGGGAGAGAGAGAGAGAGAGAGAGAGAGAGAGAGAGAGAGAGAGAGAGAGAGAGAGAGAGAGAGAGAGAGAGAGAGAGAGAGAGAGAGAGAGAGAGAGAGAGAGAGAGAGAGAGAGAGAGAGAGAGATTGATACTCTCTATAAAAATGATGTAATTAATTGCACCGTATACACAATACAAGTATATTGCAATTGAATATTAAAATTGGCGAGACGTGTTATTTTTGTCGCTCTACAGCTTTTATTATGAATGAATAATTTTAAAATATTACAATTACTCTGGCATAAAAAAGAAAAATTGCGACATTAATAAGGCATAAATAATTTCCTTTCCTCGACCACCCTGTCATCTTATTGTTGGCTTCGCAATTACTTTGCTCGAGTATCGGAAAAAAATTACTAAAGACATTGACATGTTTTTCTCGTGACTACAACAAGCATCGCGGGGCGAGGTTAAACGCTACGATTTTTTCCCCGACTCTTAATCTTTTCTTGGTCTTGGAATGCTCGCGAATGCCGAGGAAATTATGGATTCAGCCACGATCGTACGGAACGCGCGCGAACGTGAGAGAGATTTATGGTTTAGTAATTATTCATTACTCGAGGATGGGTTTTGCTAATCATTCATCGAACGTAGACACGATCCCGCTAGATGTTAAGATGCTAATTATATTCCGCAAAACAATTAGTTTCGAGAACAAATAATTTTCAAGTTCAAACGAATACGAATCATTTGTGCGTGTAAGCGATAAATAATAGATATTTGCATTGTTTAGACTCGTTGTTCATAAATTATTCTCGACGTCGTGTAATTTTCGCATTCTTTGAATAATTTTTTTACGCTACTATAAATTCCGACAAGACGGTAATAATTCAAAATGGAGAAATCGATTGTAGAGTGGCGTAACTTTAAATAAACTTCTCCAATCAAGGTTAATCGTGGCGTCTTCGCAAATTGCTATCTAAACTTTCGAAATTCCTGAAGGTTACGTCACAAATCCTCTCACGAGCGCGGCTAGTCATCGTTGGAATACGGAAAGTCATCGCAAAGACGTCGTTCGCGATATAGACTCTTTGAATTGCACTTCATTTCGTCTCTTTGTATACGACACGTGAATCTTTTATGCGATAATTGACATCGACGACGAGTCAAATCGTAAAGATGTAAAAAGTATCAATCATACGAGACGGATTACCAGGGGCTACCATTTCATTAATCTCGCGAAATACAAAATATACATAATCATTTTCCGTACTCAAAATTAAGCGTCGAGTAAATTTTCAAGATGTCAACAATATCGTAGATTAAAGAAATATATAACATTGCTAAATATAAAAGTCGCGTAAAATATGGTATACTCCCCATCCCGATCATAAATTTAACAAAGTTGTGCGTCGACTCGGATATCATTGATTTATCACGCTGCATAAAATTGTCACGTGCAGATTCGCAGCTGGAATCTACGCGTTTCGCGATATTTCAATGTTACGTACGTAAACCGAATCGAACCGATATTACGTTCGAGAAAGCCTCGAACGCTTGAGATCCATCTTTGACACGAGCTACGTAACGAGCATACATATTAATCACGATAATCTTAATAACAGTACGTAGACTTTCACGCGCGTTGGCAAGATTCGAAGGCAATCGAATGGGGTATTTTTATGGTGGATTTCGCAGAGCGCATACATCGCGGCACCGAATCGCGATGAGACGCTACTGGCCCGCGGCTTATCCGTCTCTCCGCTCGACGAGCGCGGAGAGACTCGCGCGAGAGGAGACGAAGGGAGCGAGAGGGAGCGAGAGGAGAGGCGAAGACGCGCGGCGGAGAGGGCTATTTGCATCGGAATGCAAGCCCCGGCTCTCCGCGCACGCACGCCGCACGCACGCACGACGCACGCACGCACGCACGCACGCATCGTGCGTGTGACGCGTACCTACGCGTGAAACTCCCAAGGAAGGAAACCGCGAGTTTCCTTTAATGCCTCGAGTGCCAAGCACGTTAAACTACTCTTAGATATGAAATGGTGTTGCGATCTCGCGTGCAAATACGATCCCGTGGAAAAGTTTGCGGCATGTTTGCCGAATGAACGATGAAATTTCTTAATAGAGTAATACAAGTTTGCGAAAAATGAGAGTTGAAGTTGAACAAAAAAATGTGGCGAGTAGAGCAAATAAATTTCAGTAATATATAAATTGATACTCTTTCTCTGAAGTTATGAAAATCCTATCATAATATTAATTTTGCATTATTCATAAAAATATCCTTTAAATCAAGCAATCATCGGAGCGTAATTATTTCTCGAGATTGATTGTAAAACTGAAGAGAGAAAGTGTACGTGTACGAGTTTTGAAAAAAGAATGCAAGAGAAAAAAAATTGTGGTCGACTATCAGATTTGTACATCTTTGATGGGAACGTTGCTCGGGATATTTCAAGAATTTTAAGAATGTGAGAACCCACACATTATCTCTTGGTAACGATCTGGGTTTGGATATCTTATTTCCCACGCACACAATTGCACGCGAGGGTTATACCATGGTTAATTTGTAATATATACAAAAGGATGTATCCACGTATCGAAGGTACGAAGGCGCATCGTACATCTTTACTTCCAGCGCAAACATGTTTCCGCCAATAAATATAAGCGTGTTTGCCCTCCAAACTACGAATTTTCTAGAGGCGCAACAATTGCTTAATCGTTGCGATAAATTATCGAGTATCTTATCGTCGCAGTCTTTCGACCTTAAAAAAATGCAAGTTAAAAAAACTGTCGTTAAATATGCAAAGTATTGTATCGTTACGTTATATGTAAAATTATTAAATTATATTATATTGTATTGTTATTTTTTATTATATTGTTACATTATATGTAAACAATATCATTTATTTAGATAAAATTCCGAGACCCGCAATTTTCTTTGCCAAAAGTAGACGCAACATACGTTAACGAAAAATTGTCTGTAGTTTACGAATAATTGCCCGGCATCAAACATGCTCGATATAAGAGGATAAAATGTTAAAACATTGAACGGTATAAAGTTTTCCTCCTTCCTTTATATATCGGTTGAAAAAATGTCTCAAAAATAAAACAAAATCTCTCGAAATAGATTTTTCTGTATTTTATAACTATGGATATCACATTTCCTTGAAATATTACGCGCAAGCTCTCCGAAAAGAATCCAAGCTACGTAATTTAAAAACGTCGAAAGAACACGTGGAATATTTCTATGCAATTGGTTAAAATATATATCTTGTCTTATATTGGACGAATTTCACGTGTCGCGGCGAGAAAGCAGCTGTCGACGTCTCGACGACAACGACGAGAGACGAGACGAGAGAGAGAGGCTTTTGGACGCGAGGCGAGGGATCTCTCGAAACTAGAATCGCGCGCGGTCCCAGCCGCACAAGTAAATTCTCGAAAATCGACGATGACATCATGACCGTAGTATTCCGCCCGAAATAAATATACCGTACATCGACATTCCTCCCCGAGCCCGGAGAGCTCGCACCGCTGCCGCCGCCATCGATAAATATTATTATCGTATCTTTCGTTTGCTCTCGGATTAAAGACGCTGTCGCTTCTCTCTTTCTCTGCCTCTCACCTGGCGCACATTCCACCAAAAATTCGTAACGCAATCGCGCTGCGTGACGTAAGAGCATTCCGGCGCGGGTCCAGACTGGCGTCAACGACGAAATACCAAAGCCTCCTCTCTCGCAAACGTTCGAATTAGCTACCTGCTGCGATCCTTGAATTATGTATTACCGAAGAAATTTGTCATACGAGTGTCGCAATACGGTCAATCGGGTACATACATCGTTACGCGCGGGAGGAATTGGAGAACTTTGATTTTTTATAGAAAGGAATCCACCAATGATTATCATAAATATCGCAAATATATATCGTTTTTCCATCGTATAATAATTGAAATTTTGCGACGATCGTGATGAAACGGCGAGTCACGCGACTGTCATAATTTTCGAGCAACAACTTTAGTGCGTGCATGATGCGCGAATCTCCCGACGTTGATACAAGGGGACACGAACGTGGTTAATCGTGTGTTAATCTACATTGGTACGCTCCTAGTATACGTAGGGTACGCCGAATGACCGGAAGTAACATGATTTCTCACGGACTGACTTCCTGCCGCCCTCGTCGACCCTCGTTGAAATTCTACCGATCCCCCTCCCTCCCACTCGGTTTTAATCTCGGTAAAGCGAGGTTCATCGACACGAGGAGCGATTAACGGATCAATTCCGCTTTTACGAATGGTATTTTAAGCGAAAGATCGCTCCGCTCAAAGAGATGAATGTTTACGATCGGTTGTTTCCGAGCTTACCTCGAGTACGTCCTGTGCGGTCTGCAAATAGTCGCGAAGCATGGCCTCCTGTATCGCCCGCCATTCCTGTCTTGGATCTTCCAATTGCGTTGTCTCTGTGAACATTAATCAAACGACATATTAAAACAAGAAGCCTTGTCGTCGCGTTAATTATCGCTACAATGATTATGCCATTCTTACAAGCAAATTTTTTTCACAAAACGAAACACTCATTGGATTCTATTAAATGAGTGCAAAAAAATCTCCAAAATAATTAAAAGTTAATCGTGTCCAATCAAATTTTTCATTCCTTTTTAAAAAAATATTTAATACGATAATTTGTCCAATTATCGCGAAAAAAGATTTTCTTTATGTATAAACTTGTAAAAGATATAAACAAAGATCCTTCTCTTTCTCTCTTTTATGTAAATCATATAAATAATTATAAATTTTAAACGTAGGGTTAAAATATTTTACATGTATGTGTCTACTCATTTATACAAAAATATTTTAGTGTAAATTTGAAAAAAACTTTTAAAATAAAATCTACAATATTTCATATACGATAATATAATTTCAAAAATTAAAATAATTTAAAATAGATTACTACTGCAGAGAGAAAACTGAGTAATAAATTTCACAAGTAAATAACAAATAATTCATAAATTGCGCTCACCCTACGATTGCTTCATCGACTCCTTTTTGCAGGCCTCCTTTTTCTCCTCTCTCGTCCATTCTTTTCCGCTTCATCATACATTCACTCGCGAAAACACGATTAATCGCAATCACCAAAATACGATAATCGCGCGACACTTTACACGACACTCCTGCGTTAATCGCACGCGACGCGATCTTCTTAAATTGCGACGAGAGAACGCGAAAAACTACGTGTAAAAAAATGCAGAATTACATGAATAATACATGTTCGTGTAATTCTATATTTTCTTTTTTTACTCTGGTTTTATACAATCTGCTCGGCACTTGCAAATCATGCGTTATTCATCGCGATAATATTACCTCTATGATTAACGTATAAGGTATGTTCGCATTTTAATGCAATATTATTTCACGTAATATCACAAATAAACATACGAGATAAAATTTAGATAAATATTCGCGGATTGCAATATTGGAGAACATGATTAGATTAGAATTATAAAATTAGATTAGATTAGATTAGATTAAGTTTGCCGACTTATTCGCACGGCAGATTTTAACGGAATAAATTTCGCGAAATACGCGCGATTTAACAATAATATACAAGCGCCGAATTAATGTGGCATACGGTTGATAAATATGAATACATTAATAACGATTGTATATTAAAAGCGTTGCGACGTCGTTCGATCCGGAGCTGATTTGCATTGCATTCGTGACATTTGAAGTGAAAAACACGGAAATAATATCGACTTGATCTAGATACCACGCGATACAGATTAATGATTAAATCAAGAACCGACAGAAAAATATGAGATCGATATTACATTTCCACATTCCGCGCAATACACGTGTTTCATTAACGCAAACAACGGATATAATTTCATTAGAAATTATCCAATATCCATCGTTACGATATTCTTACATTTATCACGAGAGTTGATCGATTACGCGAGATGATAATCGCTCGCAATAATGAGTCTCGTTCGCTCGAATCTCGTCGCACGAATGATAGGGGTCAAGGTTAAGACATGTATAAAAGTGTGCTACACGTCACGAAAACAAGAGTCGAATACCATGTGTGTTTTGATTCGTTGTCACTGCGAAATATTTGTATAACAAAAATTCCGACGAGAGACTTTTTTTGCACAACTCTGAGATACCATTCCACACGTACTTTCACCAATACCTGTATCCCTCCCTCCATGCGCCATAGGCTACGCGCAGGCGCGCTTCTCCCATGCTCGAGATCCAAGTGTAGACACAGTGTGTGGGAGTATCTCATACTATTATGTATTTTCGAGTAAGCCACGAAGGAAATACGAAATCTTTTCGCGTTGCTTAAATTAATTATCAATAAACGTATTGTGCACGGGCTTTGCGTTACTTTTTTAATCGATCATGCGACACATTATATTACCGCGTTTTCAACTCGAAAATGATTAGCATGCTTCTAAATTGATGAGAAAAAATTTCACACGCGAGACGAGATATCTTTGCGTCTCTCCGAGCATGTTTAAAGAAGTAATTATCGTCCGTAAATATCTCGTATAAACGGACGCCGAATTTTGCAGCGTATAACGCGTACTATTATTTACGCAAGGCCATCTTTGTTGTCATTTGCATGACGAGATTCGAGCAAATATAGGTAGCAACGCTAATTGTTCCATATTTTTGTCACATTCCATTCCAGAACGCAATGTCGCAAATATTAGACATATTACAAACGCGATTATACTGTACGATTATTGCAATTATTAATCCGATTAATTAATTTCCGCAGTCATTGCATTTTAATTCGCATAATAAAGTTGCCTGCTCGATTATTAATAAGGTATCGCGGATGTGACCCGAGTGTCATTCCGATTAATAAATACGTTATATTCGTTATAAATTTTCATATTTATCAACCATACATTTGATAAACTTAGCATTTGTATTATCGGTTAAAACGCATATTTTATGTGATTGATTCAATCGGAATCAATCGCGAGTTAAAAAGACATAATCGTAAATATTGCATTCCGTGGATATCTATCTTATATATTTTAATTTGTATATTTATTCATTTATAACCGTGATTTTCGCGTTCTCTAATCACAATATGAGATACAGTACAAGCTGTGTGCGATTAATCGAACTGGAAATGCTGTGTAAAACGATCATCGTATTCTAATTATTAGTGCGCGCGTGATCGCAATTATTATTAACCATGTTTTCGCGAGTGAATATTATGTCAGTATTACGAAGAAACACCAAAGGCCAAACACAAGAGAGGAGGAGGAAGCCTGAGTCTGGAGTAACATTGAGCTATATCATTGTCTGGTGAGTGTTGAATTATTTTTTATATAACACATGGATATATATATAATAAATTGCATTCTGCTAAAGAAGTTCTTTTGCAGCAGATCTTTTGCATAACTTATAAATGATTTGAAAGATTATACATATAATAATGTTTGAATTTTAAATTAACATTGTATAATTATATGTATTAATAATTATAATATACATATGTATAATAATATATATGTAATAATAATTATAATATATATGTACTAATAATTATATATATAAAATATTAAAGTAAAAATTAATGAAAAAAGAACAATTTTATAAACAGCGAGAACTTTAAATAAAGTCATACAAAATTTAACATTTCATATTCTTTCTATTTTAAAAATATATTTTTACAAACTCGATCGAGGTTATCGATGATCGAGTGAGAAAATGCATATATAAATTCATATGTGATATAATACAGAGATTTCAATGAAAATCACTTCTCGTAAGAAGAATCTACCTGGTCAAGTTGGCGCGCATACTTTCTCAATCAGATAGTAGAAACAAAAAAACTTACGATTGACATGATTGATGTAGTAGGCACCCACGTGTTTATCGTAGGCCTCCTCCCAACCGAGGGGAAGTTCGTTTCCGATACAATCCGCGAACGTTTGGGGTTTAGTAAACCTATAACAATAGAAAGAAAAGAAAAATTAAAATATTACAATCTTTTATTCTATTGAAAGATTTTTCAGTATCTTATGTAATTCATTGGTCCTTTTAAGAGAAATATACATATATGTATATACGTTTTATATTAACAAGTTGGATAATAATATAAAATAAAGAAACAGATATCTGATATTAAATTGCAAAAAAGTAAGTCAATGTAAATTAATTATTATCGGAATACTATTTATATTAAACAAATAATTGAACTGCACGCAAGTCATTAACCAAATTATTTTAAAATCGCGTTATCGCATGCATATATCGCGTTATGTACAAGGAAATAATAATATGCATTTTTTAATTTCATTTATAACATTTATGATAATTTTTTAATTACGATTACAGTTTTAAAATCAATCTTGAAATTTCAAATTTAATAATATTGCGAGGCTAAAAATCAAAATTACTACGACTATTATGATTCAATACGAAAATACACGATTATGCTTTGGAAAAGAAAATCTTTGGCATATTCGTCAGTAAATTTTTTCACACAGAATTATTTTTTTTTACGCACGCACAAAATTCCTTACATGCACAGAGAAAAATGTACGCTGTATTCAAGTAAATATTATTTATTTTAAGTATTTCATAAGTTTGTATATCCGCAAATATATCATAAGTTTACCACAAGCATTAAATTTAATTGAATATATTCTGAATTTTAGTAAGTGCGGTATTTTAGTCAAGAATATTAAATTAAAACAAAAATTTGGTTTGCTTACTACAAGAGTTGACGTAAAGTAAGTTTGATTTTTCTTTGATACAACTTTACAATATTCTTGAAGAGAAAATAAATTCTTCTTTCGAGTACATGATAATGAGATTTTCTAACACTCGTGATGAGTATATTTTAAGATTATTATCAAGAATGTATTCTTTGTTGAAGAAAGCTATTACTTAAAAAAAGAAAAATAAGCTGAGTAATCGCTTTTGTTGGCAGTAGAATGATATTTTTCTCTGTGTGCGCAAGCGAGATATATGTAGACACATAGATATGTTTAATCGAAACGTTCTCTCGCGCTCGTGTATTCGATATTCGCGACTACATATCGTTATTTGTCGTATCAAGTCGATGTGAAAGGGGTTCGCGATTCGTCGCCTTGGCGTAATACCGTAAAACTCGTATTAACGCGCCCGATGTTTAGTTTTGCGGGAAAACGAGCGAGGGACAGGGACGGTACGCGAAAGTACGGAGCACTTTCGCTTCCGTTCATTGTCGGTTCGGCTAGGACATATGGAATTTCACGCGCGCGCTTTCCTTCGATTCGTGATCGGCAGTTGCAGTCGCAGTCGCGACTCGTTAAACTTTGTAAGTCGCTTTAACCTTGGCATACCGTAGAGCCGTGTCGACGCGTAGCACACGCATTCAGCGTTTCATTTATCCTTCTCCTGCTCCCTTCTCCGCCTACCCCCTCGGGCAGTTCCCCGGGTGCCCTCGTGTCGCGATGTACGCTCCTGACCTTCTTCTTCTCCCTTTTTCTTTTGCACTCTCTCTCTCTTTCTCTCTCTCTCTCTCTCTTTCTCTCTCTTTCTCTGTTTCTTGTCGTTATAGTAGGATAGAATCGCGGTAAGGCCAAGGGCACGCCGAGACCGTGAATCACGCGACGGAAAGAAGATTAAGGAAATTGTCCATGAAAACGTGTAATGAAGCGCAATCCGCTCCCCTTCTCCTAAAAGTAGAAATTTTGCTCCATTTTATATTAAAAATATATTTCGATATGGATCTTTGAGGCACGAGAGATTATTAAGAGATTAAATCGGAAAAAGTTTGGAAATCTCGAGGAGATTTCTAACAAATATAAAAATGCTTTTGGAATTGCAAAAGGACAATAAAAAAATTACAACAGAAAAATGTTATGTGTGCGAGCGATGACGAAAGAGAAACAGATGATTCGCGAAATTTCACATTTTTCTCGTGCGAGATAATTTCAATATTTTCATGATGTAGGTTTTATTCGAATTGCAACATTCAAGCGTAATATATTCTCGCATGTTCAGCTACATTTTATACATACATTATACATAAGAGAGAATAAAAAAATTACATGTCTGTCAATCCCACTCATTCGTACATGTACATGTCGTATTTCCAATGGCGATAACAATTTTAATAAAAAAAAAAAGAAAGAAAAAAGAAAAAATCCATATGGAAGATTGGACAACCGACAACCGATCATTTGGTGATTATCGGTTTCGTAGATTTGCAAGAAAATGGCTGCATAAGAGTTGTAAATTAAAGTATCCATTTTGTAGCGTTAAAAATTACATAGTAAAAGAAATGATTAACGTAATTCGCCGAGAGAATACTTTTAGAATTAAAAAAAAGAGAATATTTGTCAGTTAAAATCAAATATTTATTCAGCTTGTTTGCCACGTGTATACGTTTCTCTATCTCTATTAATTCAATTAAAGGCTAAATATGAAGAGATGAAATTTGCGCTGCAATTAACGTCTTCTTTGTAAACGCTAATCGATGATTATTAATGACGAATTGTGTCGGATGAGCTGCTCGAGTGAGAAAAGTATGGAAAGAATTCATTCTTTCCATACTTCGTTCTGTATTACACGCTTTCATGCCACGTCTACGGAAATCGAAACTGGATACTCCAAGACATATTGTTTAACATTCCGACTCGCAACGGAATCCGCATACCGCTTTGTCAGTTGCGTGAGCGACATCCGATTACGCTACGTTCTTCATTTTTATTTTCTTTATGCATCGCGCGCGCTACATAATAATTGATCGCTATTTAAAGCGCAATTACGTAAACTGGATATTAACTGAGTTAGTTTTTTACTTTGGCAAAAATTATCGTAAAAAATACCAACGACATCTTCGATCAAATTTTTTTTATGTAAACGATGAATTTCGAATGTATCGAATTTTTTTAATGACAGATATAAAATTAGTAAATACGTGTAAGACAAACACGCAAAATTATAATTATAATTTCAACGTATATTTTATTATGTGACAAAAGAGATTGAAGGTTAAGGTTGAATCATCATCGTCGGAAGAGAATTCGGAGAAATGAATTTAATCGAAATTTCAACGATAATTGCGATTTCGCTTGAATTGTTCGTCGCGTTGCAAGGAAAAATTGCGCAACGACGATAAACAGATATTTGAACGTATAATTTCCCGTAAGTTAAAATTCCAAATATCAGCCGTCACAGTTTCTCGGCGCGTCATTCCCTCTTCTTCTTCTATCGCGCGCGAATATACATGTGCGGTAAAAAGAAATTCTCAGAAAAACGCCAATCCAAGTTTACAACCGTATCCTATCTTCTCCTTCTTCTCCCACCCCGGTCGATTCCCCGCTGGATATTTGCGCGATGACGAGAGCCTCCTCGTCATTAGGCGATCCATGACGGACGCTCCAATTCGCGACAGACATTGTGCAAGCCCGACAATGTGTTTGTTTTACGGCGAATCACCGCGAAATCTGGTAGCGCGTTGCTAACGATTATTCAAGGCCGAAGAGCATTCTTTTTCGCGCAACACGCATATTATAATTACTTTGCGTGTGATCGCGTGAAACGTGTCTCGACTTTATTTTTAGGCGTTTAAAAAAGATGTGCAATTTGTCGAAATTCTTGTTCCGAAAATCCTATTTCGATTAACTTGATAATTAAAGCCCAAAGTCGCGAAAGATTAAAGGATCCGATTTTATTTGCGATTATATTTATTTGCACTTTGTACAGCGCAATTTATTGAAATTCTTTGACGAAGTAATTTTGCGATTAAACCGTCGTGATAAAATTAATTATTCCGCATTCATTGAAGAAGGCTCCTATATGTTGATAAAAAAGTGCAATGATTCAACAATAGCGCTTTACTTGTCGCGTACAATTAGTAAAGTAGAATAAGCGAGACATTATACGATGAGTATATTCAACGAATGCACAAATGCTGTCTCGATGTAGCGGGGCAGAAAAACGGCTTGTTGTCTGTGTAATTAAATTGAAACTTCAGACATAGATCAAGGACGAGCAGCGTACCGTTACACGTTGCTATAATTTCATAAAAAACAACTCATCTCTTTTCATTTTTCTGGCCACGTTGATCTTGCGTATTTGTTCCGGAGATAAGTATCGATTTAATCTTATTAAAATTAAAATTTGTACACACACAATTAGGCAATTAAAAATAAAGCATTAAACTAGATCGAGTAATTAATTTAAAAAACATACAAGAGTAATTGATTATAGTAAAATATAAAAACTAAATTTAAATAATAGAGCAAAAAAGACAAAGATAAGAAAAAATAAGATGTGAAAAAAGATAAAGAAAATTTAATTTTTATTTCAAAAATAAAATCTGTAAAATTGTGCAATTTTATACTTTTACGTGTTTGGCTGTTGCTAAAACATCAATGTTAATTAATAAAGATTTCTAGTTCGGGAACTGTAAACAAATTTAACATTGACATTGACTGATTGAAAATTTTAACAAACTTCAAAATGTTGGCAGTTCGCAACTAACAGATGTGATAACGACTAATAATAACAAGTTCACGCCGATAAGCTAGAAAAACGGCGCACACGATCATTCACTAGCCGGTTGTCGGCCAACATTGTATCGAGACTCATTCACGAGGCGTTTACGTGTGTTTACGAGGGAAACGAAGTTACAAATTTGCGTAACGCATATTGCGCTTCATTAACATGCCGCCAATTGTAGGTATGCAAAAATAACCGAAGCAATATGGTCTCCATTCAAGAAAAATCGATATATAACGAGTTTTCAATTTCTAGAAAATAAAAATATTTTAAAAATATCAAAATGATAAGATAAACAACAGTCGTGAAAATTACTTTCCGAAAAGACTAGCAATTTTACATGTGTAGATTAAATTATATTTTTCTTTCTTTTTCTCTTCTCGTTTTATAACTTTTTATTATTTATTATTAAATATCTTTCAATTCACTTATATTTATTTTCAATTTAC